CCAGCGTGTCCCCAGCGTGTCCCCAGTGCCAGGGCTGTCCCCAGTGTGTCCCCAGTGTGTCCTCAGTGCCAGGGTTGGCCCCAGCATGTCCCCAGTGCCAGTGTGGCCCCAGCGTGTCCCCAGTGCCGGGGTTGGCCCCAGCGTGTCCCCAGTGCCAGCGCTGTCCCCAGCGTGTCCCCAGCATGTCCCCAGTGTGTCCCCAGTGCCAGGGCTGGCCCCAGTGTGTCCCCAGCGTGTCCCCAGTGCCAGGGCTGGCCCCAGTGTGTCCCCAGTGTGTCCTCAGTGCCAGGGTCGGCCCCAGTGTGTCCCCAGTGCCAGTGTGGCCCCAGCGTGTCCCCAGCGTGTCCCCAGTGCCAGGGNGTCCCCAGTGTGTCCTCAGTGCCAGGGTCGGCCCCAGTGTGTCCCCAGTGCCAGTGTGGCCCCAGCGTGTCCCCAGCGTGTCCCCAGTGCCAGGGTCGGCCCCAGCGTGTCCCCAGTGCCAGGGCTGTCCCCGGCATGTCCCCAGCGTGTCCCCCAGTGCCAGGGCTGTCCCCAGCATGTCCCCAGCGTGTCTCCAGCGTGTCCCCCAGTGCCAGGGTCAGCCCCAGCGTGTCCCCAGTGTGTCCCCAGTGCCAGGGTTGTCCCCAGTGTGCCCCCCAGCGTGTCCCCCAGTGCCAGGGCCGGCCCCAGCGTGTCCCCAGCGTGTCCCCAGCATGTCCCCGCCGTGTCCCCGCCGTGTCCCCGCAGCGAGCCCGGCTTCGCCCGCCTGGCGCAGATGGTGCTGGAGTACGAGCAGCCCCTGAAGAAGCTGCCCGAGGAGTTCGGGCCCCACACCAAGGTGGGTCGGGGGTCCCGCTGGGCGGCGGGGCCAGCGCGGCGGCCGGGCCGGTGTCCCCAGCGCTGGCTGTCCCCAGGCCGTGAGCAGCGCGCTGCTGTCCCTGCGGGCCCCGTTCGCGCGGCGCTGCCGGGACGCGGAGCTGTGGCGGCAGGAGCAGCTGCTGAGCCTGCTAGGACCCACGGGTGACCTGCTGAGCCCGGCCACGAGTGACAGCGTGAGTGACACGGGGATGGGGACATGGGGACAGGGACATGGGGACATGGGGACAGGGCTGGGACCCACGGGGGACAGGCTGAGCCTGGCCACAAGTGACAGTGTGAGTGATACGGGGACATGGGGACATGGGGACAGGGACATGGGGACATGGGGACAGGGCTGGGACCCACGGGTGACCTGCTGAGCCCGGCCACGAGTGACAGTGTGAGTGACACGGGGACGGGGACATGGAGACAGGGACATGGGGACATGGGGACAGGGCTGGGACCCACGGGGGACAGGCTGAGCCTGGCCACGAGTGACAGCGTGAGTGACACGGGGACATGGGGACATGGGGACAGGGCTGGGACCTGCTGGGGACACGCTGAGCCTGGCCACGAGTGACAGCATGAGTGACACGGGGACATGGGGACAGGGCTGGGACCCGCTGGGGACAGGCTGAGCCCGGCCACGAGTGACAGCGTGAGTGACACGGGGACGGGGACACAGGGACAGGGCTGGGACCCACGGGAGACAGGCTGAGCCCGGCCACGAGTGACACTGTGAGTGACACGGGGACGGGGACACGGGGACAGGGACATGGGGACATGGGGACACATGCCACGGGCACCGGGGTGTGCCAGCAGCCTGGGGATGGTGACACGGGGACACAGGGATGGGGACATGGGACAGTGGTGTGGTGGCACTGCTGTCCCCAGATGGCCTGTGAGTACCTGTCCCTGGAGGTGATGGAGCGCTGGATCATCCGTGAGTGCTGCCACCGCCCGGGTGTCCCCAAACCCTGGGCAGGGTCCCCAAACCCCCTGGGCAATGTCCCCAATCCCAGGCAGTGTCCCCAAACCCGTTGAGCAGTGTCCCCACACCCTGGGCAATGTCCCCAAACCC